GATACCGATTCGATACTTCTGAACTAAACTTTTAAATTATTAAATTTATTAAATTACTAAGAGTAAAATGGGTAATGATAACCACTTAACTTTGTTTAAAACACATTTTAACATTCGATATGCCTTAATTGTAATTTATTAGGTTATATTTTTGTTTACACATGGTTCAAATGTGTTTTTTGTTTACACATGATTCAAATCTACAAATACTACAGTGGAACTATGATCACTTTAGTAAAACCATGGTTCATTATCATAAGGGACTGCCAGTGACAGACTGTTGCATGCATAAAATGCAACCTTTTTGTTCTGACGGTGTATGATTTCTATTAACATTACAGAATAGAACATGATCTATATTATCTTTCAACGTTCAATTTAAATAAATGTAATTGTACAAACTATGTAGGCTACGATTTCAATTTGTTTATTGTGAAATAACTCAAACATATGTTTTTTTTCTGTCCTCTGATAAGCATTGTTCAGGGCTGCCGTTCCCAAAAGCTTTAATGCTTTCTTATGATACTTTTGGGAAACGCAGCCCTGTTTGAATGCACTTTTAGAAGTGAGTGAACGCTCTCTGTGATGGATTGGTTCTGTCTTGCAACATTTGCGTGTGTTCAGATGAGCAGGAAAATAGTTCTATCCTACACAATTACTTGCGAACAATGGTTATTCGTCCAATTCAATGCATTTGTACGCATTATTATTATTATTAATTTAAATAAACAAAATCACTGGTAAATAAAACACACCTTAGTATCGATATTTTTAGTTTGAGTATCGATACTTTCGATACTCGGGTCAGTATCGATATATCGATACTTAGGATCTATACGCCCATCCCTAATGCGCATAAACCTTGAGCGCGGTATACAAACGAACATGGAACAATACATTTATTAATCTGTGTTAATGTTAGTTAATATAAAGACAATCATTCAGTGTTTGTTGATGTTTTTGTTGCTGTTACGTGACGTAGTGGTGTCTGACTAGGGGCGAGACGTGGGCTGATGACGTCATCGTTTCAGAAAATATACGGATTCGCTGTCCACACGAAAACGCAAGGGCGGCGTTTTCAGATTTATCCACTCTGGGACCCGGTTTCAAAAAATATCGGTTTCACTCTCCCAAAACGCCGGATCCGTGTGGACGAAATGCCTATACGATACAAAATGTATGCGTATACAGCTAAACGCGTCTCCGTGTGGACGGGGCCTTAGTTTCTTTAATAAATAGTGAGACAAGTGCATAAGATGCTATTCTGAACATATCATAAATCATGGCAAAGTTGAAGATAAATCTGAAAACAATACATTCTAGTGTGACACAATTACCCCTCTGTCCTCCTTGTTTTGCAAGTTTAACATAATCCGAGTCAGTGGCCTGAATTCCTACGCGTCTTCCTCCTTTAGTTATTTCTTGAGGAGTGGTGTCGGCAGTCGCAGATAAACCCGGAATCTGTGATGAGGGTCCAACAGCTCCATTTGAACTAGCAAGGTTAGCTGTCCTAACACCTACAATGAAATTATAATATTTGTACAATTATTTGCCTTAATCAAAAAATATTTGTGAAAACAATATTCATGTGTATTATGTGACAGCAATGTATGCATAAGGTGGTCTGTAAAGAAGATAACAGTATAATGCGTTTCTCAGAAGGACCGTTACCTGGTTTTGTCCGGCGATAGTTGGGCTCGGCAGCCATGACTGGTCTTAGTGGTCAGTGGTGGTTTGATAGCTCTGCAACTGCAGAAAGACAAAGTTAAGTCCTTTGCATTTATTCCAAATAAAAGGTCAGCCGAACTATTGTCCTTTAACGCGTGCTTAAATTATCCAATTAAAGCGCGAATTAAATGTCAGCGTCAGCTCGACATATTGAGCATTTCTTCGTGTAGACAGCCGTGTATCTACAGCTACCTTACCAAAGCGAATAAATGTATCTATTACCGATCATGTTTTAAAACACTGTGGTAATTTTAGCTATTTCTCTCAGGATTTTCTTGTATATCATTTAGCTCTCGAGTCAACCTTGTCGCCTAGTAACAAAAGCAGCATCAGGACCACAATCATCATCTGTACAAGACAAGCCAATTATCAGCGCAGATTTTAAAAATAGAACTCACAGACATTGCAGATAAAAACAACATTGGAAGATTGGAACATTGATATACCTGAGGCTACGAAAAGATGTGGAAAAGACAAAGCTTACGTCGTGTTAACCAGCGCACAGAAGGGGGACGCCTAGATTCCTCTTCTTCATCAGATTGAACTGCGCACTGAACCCGGAGACGCCTTTCCTGCCACCTACTGGATAGGGAATGATCTTCAAGAAGCGTGGAAACACCTCCTCCACACAGCACACAGCCCACAGCACAGTTTTGACAAACGCAAGAATTTGCATGTCATGTAGTATATCATTGAGAAGTAAGGATTAGCTAATATGGTTTCAGATTTTTATTCAACTTTTGTTATTAACATTTATATTAGCACGTATCCTCTTATTTGTTTGTTTGTTTGTTTATGTATTTGTTTGTTTGAAGACAGTTTAAATATGGAGGGCCACATGACTCAAAATTAAATCATTACATAAATGTTGAAATATATAAATAATCGTTAAATACATAATTAAATGCATATTGGCTGTAAATGCAGAAATAAATGCAGAAATATTCATTCATTCATGCGTTCGTTCGTTCATACATTCATTCATTCATTTTATACACGTCTCGACAACCATTACCCTGAAAATGAAATGTGGAAGAAATAAATAAATGAATGAATGAATATTTATGCATTTAATTATTTAAACATGTATTTAACCATTGATTTATATATTCCAATATTTATTTAATGATTTAATTTTGAGTAATTTGGCCCTCTGTACTGTTCATCTTCATCAATTCTTTATTTATGTTTTAACCTATATGGAAGTCATTTTCTGAAGACATTCTGCCTTTTTATTTTATTATTTTACTTTACTGTATTTTATTTAAAAATGAAAGTGAATTGAAATCTGCTATACATTCTCTTTTTCTATTTTAATGTACGGAAGGCTTTTTTGACCATTTTAAATAAATTAATTTAATGATAAAAAAAAAATGAATAGCACATATACAATTTCATTATGAGAAATGAAATTAAACTATAATTTTCATTTTTATCATACCTGTACAATTATGTTTTTTAATTGGCAGAAAATGTCATCCATATTTATGTAGGTCTACGTTTTGTTTGTTTCAGAGGTGATTTTAAACATGATTCTCCATAAATGTGCGCTGACACAGACTTACAGTAAAATCATTCTGTAGTTTGTAGTGAAGCCCCGGGGACTTTACTGTGGTCACGTTACGTAACATCCGTTCAGAGCGAAGGCGTGCATAAAAACCAGAGAGAGCAACGTTCTCAGCAGCAGAGATGCAAGCACACACTCTGAAGATGACAGCATCTGTTCAATACATAAGAAAACTGCTGGGAAAAAGCAGCTGTGCGACAAGCAACCTGTTGAACACTGGACACAAAACACAGAAGAACACTACCGATTCTAAAACCATCAGGAACAAAGATGGAAAAAGTCATAAAAGAAACGTAAGTGACTATTTTCGTATTTGCTTTATTTTTGATGTGTTTATTTTGTTTGATGTTTAATATGATTTGATATTTCTCTAGTAATATTCTGCTGAACATGTAGGTTTCTACTAATATTTAGTAGGCTATGTAAATAACATATTAACCTACTAAATTGCTCATTTGAATAATTAACAATGTGGAATGTTATTTTGTAGGTAGTGCAATTCCAAGACAACACAACAGAGCAGTATATACGGTAAAAAAAGTTATTAAGTTGCATCTTAAGCTTGTCAACCCACATGCACAACTCAAATTTGGTCTGACTCTCTCTTGCTCATGTCTCTTGGTTAACAGGAAAAGTGTCGTTTTAAGAAGAAAAGAAAATGAAACTTTTGGGTTTGACATCCAGGTAACCTCATTACCCACCCATCCTCTCTCTCTCATACTCTTCTTATACTTTTTTCTCCATTCATTCAAGCATTACGTGCCTGCCTGAGGGCTTATTATCTGTCAGGGGATAATTGGATTTTGGATGATGAATTGATTGGGTGTTTACTTCCTGTCCATAGACAAGCAGTGTTGAGAGAAGCATCAGTACTGAGCAGGATTTGGGCTCGTGTGTGTGTTGGGTGAAGGAGAACAGTCTGGCAGAGAGTAGTGGGTTAATGACAGGTAAGTTATCAAGACACCTGCTCACTTCTGTCGAGCACCAGTGTCATTCATACTTACTAAAATCTCTTTGTCTCTCACCTCAGGTGATGTTATTATAACGGTCAACAGTGTGTATATTGCTGGATTCACTCAGCAGCAGATCAACAATCTGGTTCAAAAGTCCTCCACCTTAATGTAAGACTCAACACTATCGTCTATGTTATGTTTTTGATGATTAATGTACAGTTATACAATGTATTTTCAACGGGAAAAGAATATAAAAATGCTACAGTAAAAAAATGTTAGTTTGTTCACTGAAATATTTGTATTTTAATTGTTTGCGAGGAAAAAATATGAATTAGCATAATTTATGGTTAATGTCTACATATTTAATATTTCATTAGATATAACAGGTCACCACATGTATACACACACATACCTTTTTATTAAAGTTTTATATTATTATTATTGTTGTTGTTGTTGTTATTATTAAATATTTGAATGTAATTTTTAATAAGAAAAGTAGAAGTCACATTTTTATTAATGGCCCCTTTGTAAAGCATCACATTTGATTATATTTCATTTAAAATGTTTAATGCAGTGTTTATTGGATTGCAATAATTTTTATAATATTACAATATGTGACCCTGGACCACAAAACCGGTCTTAAGTGTCAATTTTTCGAAATTGAGATTTATACATCATCCGAAAGCTGAATAAATGAGCTTTCCATTGATGTATGGTTTGTTAGGACAGGACCATATTTGGTCAAGATACAACTATTTGAAAATCTGGAATCTGAGGGTGCAAAAAAATCTAAATATTGAGAAAATCGCCTTTAAAGTTGTCCAAATAAAGTCCTTAGCAATCCTTATTACTAATCAAAACTGAAGTTTTGATATATTTACGGTAGGAAATTTACAAAATATCTTATACTTAATATTCTAATGATTTTTGGCATAAAAGAAAAATTGATAATTTTGACCCATACAATGTATTTTTGGCTATTGCTACAAATATACCCCAGCGACTTAAGACTGGTTTGTGCTCCAGGGTCACATATGTGTTTTAATACTGTCTTAATAAAGTAGTAGTTTAATAAAGTATTAGTATCATTGTTATTATATAATAAGCTCAATGAACCAGTCAAAACCCTGTCTAACCCTAGTTTTGATTGTAAGTGCTTCTTGATCTGAATATATTTTTTTGTCTTGTCTTTTGTTGACTGTAGGATGGAGATTATCAGAGGTTCTACAGAAAAGCAGAGACAATTGCTTAGCAAGCGTTATCTCCTGCAGGTGATTTTCTTCAAAGTATTGAAATTTCTTATTAGCCTCAGTCCCATTTTGTACCCTAATTATGTATCTTTATAACACTACATAATCATTCTTCTCCTGTTTCGCATAACTTGTGTATCAGTAGATATTTACGGTAATGTTGTTGTATATTGGGTAACTGTGTGAATCGTGAACAAAACAGGTTTCTTCATGCTTAACAGGTTTTTTTCTTTCTCTGTGTTTCCCCCTCACATTTACACACTACAGAAACAGTTTACAGAGAAATGCGAAGAGCTTCAGACACTCATCGCAGAGGAAGTGCGTCTGGCAGGAGGTGTGTGTTAATGTGTGTTTGTGTGTGAGAGTAAGACAGAGAGATGTGGGCATAAACTACCCACAAGTGAAACGCATCATTTCCCCATAAAGCCACGCTCTGCCCTCAGGATGCCAACAAAAGCATCAGAAGATCTGTGTGTGTGTGTGTGTGTGTGTGTGTGTGTGTGTGTTTGTGTGTGTGTGTGTGTGTGTGTGGGCGGAATGTGGGGAGTGTGTGTGCTTACATGTAGAAATTCTGCTTTTACAGGAAGAAACTTTGCTGACAATTCTTGATACTGTTCTGATATGAAACTACAGCAAGTCTACACTGTAAACAACTAAATTAACTGGTTTATTCAAGTAAAATGTATTCAGTATACCTATACCCAGTGATGCCTTAAAAGAACCGTTTTTGGTTCCGTAGTGTAAAGAACATTTTAATAATTTAACGGAGCTTTTGCCACTATAAGGAAAGGTTCCATGGATGTTAAAGGTCCTTCGTGAAACATAAATGAGAATAAAGAACCTTTATTTTTAAGAGTGTGCATCAACAAGGGATCAGCTGGTCAGGAATTACATATGTTAAAAAGTATTAACATAGTATCACATATTGCATAGAACAGCATAATACTTTATAATGAATAATAAACAAACAAAATTGAAAATAGCACAGATATTTTCAGTTAAAATTGGTTTTCATTTCAGTTACACAATAACACAAACACTTTAGTGCCAGTAAATGAAAACAGTCTGTTACTGTTTTCAGGTGCTGTGGAAAACATCCAGAAGCTAAATGTCCTTCCTGCAGAATCCTCTGCGAACCTTTGCTGACAGTATGGACAGAGAGTTTTTTCACACTTCTAATACAATCAAACACACCTAATCAAGGTTGTGGGCTTCACTGGAAAATTACAGGCTAGTGCATTAGAGTAGGCTCGAAACTAAGCTCTCTGGTAAAGCAGAGTTTAAAGTTAGTCCAGGAAAACAAATCCTGGCCATATGCTCAAGGAGACCCCATGAGAGACCCTGTTCAGACAGCATATTTTCTGTACAATGCTACATCGTGGTTTGAATTAGTGAGTGAAAAGCTAAATATTGATGTACAGAGATGGAATTATTTAACTATTTATTTAAATCATACTGCATTTTGTATTATCTATAGTGTATTTGTGTATTTTACACTATTAAGCAGTCATTTTTATTGTCAGTTTTTTTTTTCATTTTATCTAATTGATATTTTGTCTAAATGTGTTTTGTGTATTTATGTACGAAGTTCTCTAATATTTATTCATTTGCATATTTATATAATGACTCTTTAATAAACTTTTATGCTTTGGTGCTTTGTAGTGCAGGCTGGTTCTGCTTGGGCTGTTTCTCACTGTACACTTAATCTTGCTGAATGTGGTTTGCATAAGTTGATTTGTCTGCTGTTTGCTTCTGCTGAACACGTAGGTTTCCCAGATATCATCTCAGTCAGTGGTAAAACACCAGATGCACTTCTCATTCACCACATAGATCTTAAGCCTGGCGGGAAATGACACGTCATTGACAGTACATCCCGTATCACAGACGAACCTTAGCGTCCTCGTCACTTTTATAATACTTGATTGACAGTATAATTGATGCCTCATTTTGTGTTCAACCTCTTTGAGACCTAATTTTTAGCTTCTTAAAAGACTTTGCAGAATATCTTTACAGTATGTATTGAATGGCAGTCACAAAGCTCAAACAAACTGATGTAAACACAAGATTTTGTTAATTTCTTAGATAACCCAGGGAATGTTCATCTAATCAGATTAATACTGAAAGAGTTATTGAAGTCTTGCTTATTATGTGTAAGATTTTAGTATCTAGTTATTTTGTTTGTTCAAACACAGATTAATTGTTTAAATTTATACTTAACGCAGTTTAACTTTAGAGTGCTTCTATTTTGACACATAAGTAGGACTTATTGATTGATTGTTATAAGTCATTTCATAATTACTTCTAGTGGTTTACTGAAATATGGTGAAAGTGTACTGCTGAATGTACCAACAAGCATTTATAGTAAAATAAAATACATGCATTTAATGTAATTTCTGTTGAAATGTGTTTGTCATGTATTCAAATATATTTGTAATTAATGAATATATGTAACTTTAAATGTAATATCAAGTAACAATCTACAGTTATAATTATAATTGAGCAGTCAAGACATCAAATGAAGTGTGCTCCTTTAAAGCACAACAAAAGATAATGATTTCACTTTTAATTTTGCTTTATTACAATATGCACTTTTTAAAGGGGAGAAACATGAAAGTGTTCTCTCTTTAAGTACATTTATGTGGCATTTTGTTTCAATAACATTATCTGCAAGTCGTTTTATATATATATATATTTTTAAGAATTAAAGTATATACTTAATATAAACTTATATAAAGTACACTACAAGCGCACATTCAGTACAAGTAAGCACACTTCTTTTTCACAAGGGAAAATAGAAACCTGCTTCCCACAAACAGGAGGCTGAATATTTAGCATCTCCAGAAATGTTGGACTATGAAAATACAATATCCACCTGACAGAAAGCCTGTTACCCTTATGTAAGTCTAGGAAAACAAAACTTTGCTGTAGAAGAATGCCAAGACATCTCACATCTTCAAAATATTTGAATGTTCCCAGAAAGAAGCTGGTGCCACTTTTCGAACTCTCTTTACAAATGAGCCTATTAACCCCACAATCCCATGCTCACTCCCAGAATTAGAAGCCAATCAACACTGTTCTCCAAACAATGGTGATGAAATTCTCATCAGCTTCGCCACTGGGAATGAGAATGAGGCTGCGTCACCCAATGCCAGTAGATTCCACTGAGTCGTGAAGGGAGGGACACAGACACAACCATGCACAGACTGCTCACCACAAGAGACTACTTCTGAGCATAACTTCTCCTTCAAGGTCTCCTCTCCTTCCCAAACCGCAGGAACCATAGACAAGAACAAGAACAAGGTAAGATGCATTACTGAGCTTTTAGAGTTTGCGTCAGTATGGTGGTTGGTTTCTGCGTTTGTGCTATCAATGCAAATCTCCTCCATAGACTAGTCATTGAAGGTATAAGTTAACTTTTCACATTCAGGTGGTTTGGTTTACTTCTTCAACGTGCTTAAGTTGTGTTATATTGAGGAAAAACTCATTTTGGTTAGATAAATTATACAACCATGGAGAGAACAGCAATGATGCTTTCAAAATGTAAACTGGAAGACGTCTAGACATGGTTACTTGGACAGATATTCTCGCTTTTCTGTATTTATGTAACCGTACGGCACAATTTCCCATTTCTTGCACGTTATGTAAGGCCTCTCATTGTTGAAACATACAAGAAGAATTGTGTACTTGCAATTCTCATTCCAGCAGTTGGTCACTTTGTTTAGTCAAATCAAATTAAAATTCCTCAAAACAACTTTGCATCTTTTGCCAAGTCTCATCCTATCCTTTCGAGAACTTACCAAAAGTCTTTTCCTAATTTGGACATGACAACCCATCGTGCTGATTGAAAGCACTGTCATCTGAATACCATATCAGGTAAACTGGAGAAATGACAGCACAGTCATTTGTCAATTATCATATTAATACAGAAACCAATCATTACAGGCATGTTACGTCTCGTCAGTTTGGTGGTTTTTGGGGAAAATGGACTGGAATTCAAACTTAGAATTTGTCTCTTTTTCTTTATAAATTTACAACTGCTGAAATCTCAGGACAGGAAGTGACATCAATGGAGCAGAACGACAAGGACACATTGGAAGCTGAGAAACAGCAAATGAATGGTCAAACAGAAGAAGCACCTCAAGAGACGACGACACCTGAAGAGCCAGCAAATACAAGTGAGAATAATTCCGATACACATGAACAAGAAAAAAGTGAGGACAATGCAGAAAAGAATGAAGAAGAAACAATTGTGAGTAATGGAGATGAAGAGGAAAATGCAAATGAAGAAAAAGATGAAGAGGAGGATGAATTGGGCGATGGTTTCCAGCCTTCGGTTGAGATGTCAATCCGGCTATTTGAAAAAGACAAAGGGGATATCAACCGCCCTATTAGCAGGTACAACACTGTCAGCTACAGGAAGATTAAGAGAGGAAGCACAAAGCAGAGAATAGATGAGTTTGAGTCCATACTGGATGTATAACAGTGAATGTATGTTTTCATGTGGTTCCTTCAAAAGTATGTGATTGTAACACATGCTCACACACAATCACATGAACAGTATTTTCTGACAGCTTCATTTCAGCCTATATCACATTTTTGTAGAGATCAGTAGTTGTAGAAATCACATTTTGTGGAAGCTTCAAGACAACTGCCTCATCTCTGACTGATTTTCAGTAACCCCTCGTTTGGCAGCGAGCTGGAAAAACAACATTTATTTGTCTACAAATGAGATTTTTCATTCATGAATGCTCCTTCAAATAACACGCAGTCTGTCTGACTAATGCAGGCTTGATCTCTACTGTATAAGTAGTTGCCAAATCACCATTAATGAGCTACTGGAAGAGCTTACAGTTACATTAGCATGAAGGGCATTATTGTATTCCTGTTTAAAATTTGAATTCTAATGTAAATCTACAAGTTTCTAATGTTGTGTTTATGGTTTCATGGCTTTGTAAAACATGCTCACACATTTTAAAACACAGCAATAGACATAAAAGCAGTTTATCGTTTCCATATTCAGATTTGTATATGTAATGTCTGCATACTGTGATTATATCTTTGGACAATTAGTAGTTTTCATTGTTTTCTATAATGACATAATGTTACTTGATATCTGCCATACTAGAAACTGCATTCATGTAATCTGTAATAGTTGTTGCATTCATGTAAAAGTTGTTATGGCTTTATTTTTCTCTGACTACACAAAATGATTATATTTTTCATCTGGTGAGGTCAAATAAAATCTGTGCAATAATTGGCTTAAATTGACTGTAAATATCTTTACATTTTAACCAAGTTGAGACAACACATTGAAAATGTTTTTATATATAATATAATATAATATAATATAATAAATATAATATAATATCAAAATATTTCCTCACCACTAGATGGCAACATGGTTTTGTCTTGATTTAAAGGGTGAGGAAAGCGGTTTGCATGACGTGCCTCTGTCTAATTTCACAAACTACAATTCTATTCTGTTAATGGGTAAAAACGTCTTCATTTGAATTTTGAACATTATCCGTGATCACACGTACTTTTCTAAGCAAAATCCTGACTGTTATGTGTCCTGTTATGCATAGTTGTAGAATTGCAACATTCATCATCAACTAAAGAAAATAAATAGACATGGATTATTTAAAACAAATCATCGACAACACTTTATAAACCAGGCTAATATAAAACCAGAATAAAACGACAACTTGGATAATAAAATCAAACTTTGACACGACGGAAGGAAGACCAACAAATTGTTTACCATTGTTTAACTAATCATTTTTACGTGGCATCTAATATATGTATAATCAATGTAATGAGATATTTACTGCAGTAATTAGTTTAATTTGGGTGTTTATGACCCGACTGACTTTTTAGTTATGTCTTTGTGTTTCTGGCCCCTCTCTAATGGCTCATTGGGAGTCTGTGTGGGTTTGGTGTTGTTTCCTCTGTTAGCTTTATAAATGCTTGAACTTTACATTACAAATCTCACTAATTGCTTTTTATTTGAAGGCAGTTTATGAATATCACTTCCATTCCTCCAGCCACATCACCTGCTGCTGACTGATCGTAAAGTACTACAGGTTACATTAATGTTTTCGTAATTCTGCTGGAGGTTTATTTAGGCAAAACGAGACTAGGCTTTTGGCCTGGCTTGTTTGAGTCAGGTCCGGGCCTCATTTGAATGGTGACAAATGTCATGCTGCCATGGCAGCGGGAGGTTTGTGACTGTTATGGTGCAGCCTGCCTGGGCTGGGGGCCGGAAGGCACTTCCTGGGCAACACACGTCCCCCGTGGTTTAGGCTCGTTATTGACCTTTCCTGACAGAGCGGTGCGGCTTTTCATTCTCCCTTCCTCTATCCCTTTTCTACTGTTTCCTCTTTCTTTCTGGTTTTGTCGCTCTCACTCTTTCTGTCTGCCCAGAGAGCAGGTTGCATCACGGTGGGCTGAAATGCCACGATTGGCCCGGGGCTTTTACGCAGCGCTTTCTGACTTCCTCTGGCTCTCTTTGCCTGTTTGAGGCATGTTTACGCAGTAAGGACCATGTGCTTGTCTGCTAGTTTTGTGTCAGATAAAGAAGAAACAAGCTTCTCATGGGTTGCAACTTTTGAAGTATGACGTATTACACTCAAATATTTGGATACTGAAGTCACACTGAAATGTGACTAAACAGCATAACAAAACTATTTATTTATTTATTTATTTAAAAAGAAACACAGCACACCCTTATCAAGCAAAAAAAAAAAAAAAAATTACTTATGGTAGGCTTTAAATGCTAAAACAATAGATACTGCCCTATGGAAATAAAATGTCCATTGTTATTGTGATCTAAAACCAAAACTAAAACTATATAAAATATTTTCATCACTTGAAACCAAATAAATGTTAAATTAAATACAATAAAATATTTTAAAAATGTAACTTTTTATTTCAGCTGGTTGCCATTTTTGTTTAGTTCAACTTGGACTAAAATAAAACTAAAATAACTGAAACTGAATAAACTAAAATGAATAAATAAAGATGAATATAAATATATACTTGAAACATCTAAAACTATTACAAATGATAAAAACACACAACAAAATTACTAAAACATGAAAACAGAAAATATAAAAATAAAATCTAATTAAAAAATATTATCAAAAATCTATAATAGTATATCAATGATGCTAAAATAACACTGATAAGTCCATGGAAAAGCCAAATGCAAAGTAGCTTCAAAAAGGTCATAATAATAATAAATGAAATAAATAAATAATTAACATTTACAGAATTTGACATTACTGTTTCATGCTGCTTTCTAAAGGCTAGTCAGGATTCATATTTGTGAAATTAATCACTAATTATTTTAATATTTTCAGGTTTATACATCTAACAGTACGCTAATGGGGGTAGAAAAAAGTTGTACTATATTAATAGAAATAAGAAATGTTTTATATTGTATATATGTTATATGACAATATATAAAATTGTCTAAATTTATACAAATTTTATTATTATTTTTATTATTATTTTTCACTGTATGGGCAGTTATAAATGAGCACTTCGGGGGTGCCTGTGTTTGAAGTATCTAAAAGTGTCCAAATACTTTTGAGGCCACTGTAGGAATGAGTTGAATCTATCAGTGTGTAAAAACAATTTTTTGTAACAATACAGTGATGCCAGCTCCGTATTTTATGTGCAGATGAATCCACAGATGCTGACATGTTCAACATTTTCGTTCTAACAGATCTGCAGATGATGTACAGAATAAATGATGATTTGAGAGCAGGAGGTCGCCTCGGAAGTGTGAGTCATCCGTCAGTGTTTGTGTGCTGTGAGAGCGGCCCACTGTGGCCTGACTCTACGGCAGACATTCATGAACCCCCCTCACGCCATGCTCGCTCCACAATGACAGCTTTGTGAAGGATGGAAGAGAGCTGCTGTGGAAAATATTCAAGACGCTGAGGGAAAGAGAGAGACAATGAGAGAAAAAGAGGAGCTATCAAAGTGTTTAGTTCACAAAGCCTGCGAGTGTTCCAGCTCAGTTGAGTTTAAAGCGGGTGAGAGACAAATAGAAAGCTCTCGCGTCTTGTGGTAAACATGGGGTGGGGTCAGGAGGGGTCACTGTTCTCTGTGCATTCAGTGGGTGGATGTGATGGGTTTCTGGAGGCCTGTTCCGCTGTCCATTCTCTCTTCAGGTCAGCTCTAGAGACCAGTGGCGTCACAGTGGCTCACAACGGACATGCCATGACAGAAAGCACAGGAACTGATGACGTCTCACATAGTTTAGGGGGAATTCTGAGCGAAATAGCCGTCTGAAAATACTAATTTCTTACATAGTACGCACATAATACAGAATTTCTTTGCATAAACTCAACAGATTCAAAAGAAGTCAGAAGTCAGAAAGAGCTTTATTACCAAGTATTTTTACACACACAAGGAATTTGAATTATCATCTTAAAAAGACTCAAACTTCACATTAAACTTCACATTCTTGTAACTAATAAAATATGCTTAAAAATCTATTTCATTTAAATCGTTAATAATTGTAATATTAGATTAAATTAAGAATCAATAATAATAATGCACAAGGAATTTGAATTATCATCTTAAAAAGACTCAAACTTCACATTAAACTTCACATTCTTGTAACTAATAAAATATGCTTAAAAATCTATTTCATTTAAATCGTTAATAATTGTAATATTAGATTAAATTAAGAATCAATAATAATAATAATAATAACAACAACAACAACAAGAATTATTATTATTAAACAAGAAACAGAAGAAAATCGTATAGTAATATAGCTAAATCAATAAATAAATGCATTTATATAAGACTCACGTTTATATAAGCTGTATAATTTGAATTATTAATAATTGTAATTAATAAAAATGGTGACAATAAAATATGATGATGATTATAAAGAAGAAATAGAAAGAAATAATTAAATAAATTGATAGATAGATAGATAGATAGATAGATAGATAGATAGATAGATAGATAGACAGATAAATTTACTTTACAGAGGCTCTCTGCCATCTTAAACTTCACATTCCTGTAATCAGCTAATAAAATAAGATTTAAAATGATAATAAATACAAAAATAATAAATTAAATTATTAATAATAATATTTAAAAATGTTTACATTTTCTACATTTTTTTTTTTTAGATTTCAGTACCAATAATAATTATTTATAATATTATATGTTAAATAAAAAATATGATATTAATGAAGAAAAAGAAATAGAATAAAATCATACAAATAAACAAACAAATACATACATACATACATACATTCATACATAGTGCCTTTATCATACAGTGCTTTTACAGAATGGATTTTTCTAGTCTATATAATTTTCCAAAATATTGAGAGAGAGAGAAAAAAGAGAAACAAAGAAAGAGAGAGATATACGTACATATAAAGAGAGAGAGAGAGCAGAGGGAAGGGAATTAGAAAGGGTGACCCCAGGATAGTGGAGGTCACAAGAGGTTTTCCTGGTGAGTAGTCCTTTGGGGTCTCTTTAAGCTTTGAGTGACAGGCATCCATTGTGATGGCCGTGAACCGCTGCACTCTGGTTTCTATCCATTCTTATCACCAAACCGGGGGTGGGGAAGAGTTTATGCAGGGACCAAGTCGGGTTTCCCAAAGGACGGCATTTTAATTTCTAATTCATTAATCTCCCCTGTGCAGCCATCCTGCTTTGTGGAAAACGAAGGCCAGTATAAGATTCACCTGACTGGCTCAAGTCAAGGCCACAAGGTATGAAATCAGAGATATACTAAGGTGCCTCATTCGCATCTAAGAGAGAGAGAACGGGCCACAAAAGTAGTCAAATCTAAAATCAGCCACATGAGGGAAATGGCTAAATAAACATAATGTCTTAAAGGGATAGTTCACCAAAAAATGAAACACACACACACACACGCGCGTTTCAGGGTCTGTAAACTAAACGATATAAAGTGTTAGTTTGGCCAAACCTGACAAAAACAGAGATAAGCAGCACATGACAACAGAGCTAACGTCTGTTATGCATGTTCACATCAGTGTATTGAAAAGCCTCGGCACACAAAAACATTGTTGAGTTCTACAAATATGAATGGTGACTGACCACTGATAAATTAAAGTTGATAGCGGTGAAGAGTTTGAGGTAAAGTGGACTCTCTTAGCTGGACCCGTCAGAACCGCGTCGTCAGCCGGCGTACATTCGGCAAGCTTGTGGTGCGATGCACTATGGGAATTGTAGTTTTATAAGGTTACGACACGCCCCTTTTCAAAGGTTCAGATGTAGTTAGTGGACTACAATATCCGATATTCCGTCAAATGCGGAAACAGCAAGGCAGCAGTAATCAATCTTTGATAAACTGATGCTTATTACAATAAAGTTCTGGCTGACTCAAAATAAAGTTACAGTAATGTACATATATAATTTAAACGCCTGATTGTAATTAATAATCAGGATCGGTATTTTTGATTAATATTATTTTGTTTGTTTTGTTTTGTTGTTTTTGTTTTTTTGTTTTTTAATTTATATTTATAAAAAACGTATACTCTTCAATAGACTATTAGTAGCCTGTATGATTTTTGTTGACCAAAATAAATCAATCAATACATACATACTGTCCATACATACATACATACATACATACATTCATACATAGTGCCTTTATCATACAGTGCTTTTACAGAATGGATTTTTCTAGTCTATATAATTTTCCAAAATATTGAGAGAGAGAGAAAAAAGAGAAACAAAGAAAGAGAGAGATATACGTACATATAAAGAGAGAGAGAGAGCAGAGGGAAGGGAATTAGAAAGGGTGACCCCAGGATAGTGGAGGTCACAAGAGGTTTTCCTGGTGAGTAGTCCTTTGGGGTCTCTTTAAGCTTTGAGTGACAGGCATCCATTGTGATGGCCGTGAACCGCTGCACTCTGGTTTCTATCCATTCTTATCACCAAACCAGGGATGGTCTGAAGAGATGGCCATCCGCAATGCATAGAATAAGGATGGCTTTCCACCATAAATGACCACCGAGTCGTGCTTATCCGGATTGTTCAAATCGACTTAAATCTAAAAGATTATGTTCTCTCGCGCGAACTCATTCGGGAGTGGTGACTTTCCACATATTCCCAACTTCTGAGCCTGCTCGCCTGAAGTTATGGTTGATTGCTCTTCGGCTGAATATCAAACACACCCATTAACGTGAACTACGCCAGAGCGCATACACAAAAGTACACAACTGTCTTTGTCTTGTATGCCCTGGGGGTAAGCAGATAAACATCAAATTTTCATTTTTGGTGAACTATCCCTTTAAGGAAATTGCAGGTAATCAGAAACTAATCTTGTGATGTAAATAGTAAGGTGTGTTTTGTTCAAAATCCCTTTCAAAAAACGACGTGAAAAGAGTATGTCTGAATCCCCATTATTCGTAGGGAAAAAGTACCTGGATGACCTACTAGGCCTACTTCTAGAGAGAGTGGATTCTTTACTATCCCATGAGGCCATGGATTTGTGAATGGCAGGGAAACAACACAACTGACACTGGAAGGTCACATGACAATGTCAAGTCATTCATACTACATATTACTTTCATACTACATTCATTTATACTACACACATTAATACCATAGGACAGACTTTTTAATGGTTGCAAAGTACTTATTCGATTTTGGACCCAAACAGTCTTGATTCATAATAATAGCATGACCAAGTCTGACACCTTTTTTTTAATCTTAGCTGACAGAATATTGTACACACGTATTTTTGTACTTATAAAATAAAAGAGTTTTAATACAGAAAATCTACATCATGTCTGCATAAAAACGATACAAAGGTAAGTTCACACCAATACAAATATGTTTTTACTGACATGTAAATTCAATCTAATTTTGCATGCAATTTGTCTATATACCAATGCACAAAAATGCATTTAAAAGGTTTGCACTGACGGCATCCAATTCTGAATGTTCACGTTTGTTTGACTCTGAACAGATGCATTAACAGCCATTAATTAAGAATTATAAATAATTTATAAACTATTTTCGCACCAAACATAGCATATGTCCATCTGCAAGATTTCGGTTAAAGATTGCTTCATCTGGAAATCATTTGCTACAAACACATCTTTAAGATGTCAGTTTTACATACATTCTAAATCATAAACATCTTAAAGACATGTTCTATTTGATGTCTAACAGGAAAGAGACGTAGAGACGTATTGCCAATGAACAAACATCTTCTTCCAGATGTAAACATGCACTTTAAATAATATAGACCTCTCTGAGATGTATATGTGTGCTATCAGGGTTGTCTTGGTGTAAACAGTCAATGGAAATTTTCCATCATACAAGAAAAACCAATGTGTGTTGCTCAGTGCTTTTGGTAGTGTAATGGTTCTCACAGATTCTCTCTCTCTCACACACACAGTGTGGTTATATTCTTACACCTTTGTGGGTGTACAATAATTCCTATTTGGGATAGAAATCAAGACAATATTTCATATGCCCACTGCTGTCTGAGGGACTGTAGAGTATTATAATCTGTCTGCCTGGAGGCAGAGAAATGGTCAGGGAAAATGGTGACAAAAGAGACGCTAAAACACAGAGAGCCTACTGTTTATAGTCACTTTCCCCACACACACAGAATGAGAGAGAAACAAACAAAACAAGAGAGACTAGGGAGACAGACAAAAGAATCAGCCCAAGGAATGGTGGGAATTTAAGACTTAAAGAATGGGAATAGTGATTTCTCATGTGCTAAAAGAAAGAAGCAGAAATGATAGCGCTGTGAGATGGGAAAGAGGCCCACTTCACTTCAGTGGTCTTGTTGCTGCTGGATTCAGTGTTTCCTCATTCATACACACTTCTATGTAACTTCTCTGTTCTATCTCTTCCCAGACAATGCAACCTCACATCACAAAAGCAATCGGATCATCATCAAATTAAGAGACAATCATTATTTCACCATCCATCTTGCTGTTTTCATAATTTTGGCTGACGGGAAAACCCGAAGAGTGATCCGGTCCAGGATTACAGATGACTCTGAGTTGATTGGGAACTGTACTTCAATGGTCAATGTTCCGCTCTTAAGATAAATCCCGCTATTCCCTCAGCATCATTCCTCTCACATTCTCTAATTAGTTTTCAGTATGCTAGAAGAAGATGGATTATCACCTAATATCTCCTCTCGAAAATTACAATATGATTTAAACAGGTCTCTATCTTTGACAAAGAGGAAAAAGTTAATGTTAGACCAACATGAAACTGTTTATTGGGCTCTCAGTATTTTCTCAATTGCTTTTACAATAATAATAATAAACAACAACATTGACCAAATATATTATATTATTTTATTTTTTATTATAACATTGAAACCACATTGAAAGAACAGTGAGAAGTGACAAGACAGATATCATGTTTAAGCATCTGAAAACAATGAATGATGATAAAATCCCCCTTTTAATGAAAAAATGAATGGAAACATGCAGAAAAAACATGAACATTAAAAAACATGATAGAGGAGAGTGGGGTATGTGAGTCATTTTTTTACTCAAGATACGAGAAAATGAGGCAGAAGTACAATGAAAGTATCGAAAGTAATTTCCTATCATTTTAAATTATCAGAATGTAACTATGACAGAGGGTTCTAAAAATATGGCTTCGTATAAAAAGTGTTTCATAAGCTTAATTTGACCCAGTGGGTAAGATGCACCATCTGAATGAATCTGATTCAAACCCATGTGAAATTTTAAAGATAATAATAAAAACTAATTTAATAATCAAATTTCCTTTTGCAAACAGTCATAATTCTCATCTTAAAGCTAACTTAAAGAACATAAAACCAACCAAATTAAGTTTAAATTTCAGTCTTTAATGGTTTGCATTTCTGAAACCATATGTTGAACACCAAAGTTGTATAACCTTCCCAAAAACAGACAGTTTATTAAGTAAAATTAATTAATTAAAATGAAGGAATTAATGTCACTGAAACTAATAAACATTTTAGTCAAAAGATTCTTGGCATGGTAGCTTTTCTGCAATGTCGACCAGGCCATTAGGGACTACAGATGGAAAGATATATGATTATAATGTGATGAAAAGCATCTTCTGGTTCTTATCAGAGGAGGTTTGGTCAACATATATATGGTCAACTAAACCAGTTGCGTAATATCACATTGAAATACCAGTTTATACTTCAGAGATTTAATTGAACTTAAGTGCCTCATGGTGGGGTAAGTCAAAACGCTGGCTCAATTTACCCCACAGCATTTGACTCACTTTGCCCCAAATAGCTGCCATTTTGAAAATGCTAGCAAGCTTACTAATATTTAGCTAAATGATTTGAATGGTTATATATGTTGCTAAATCACCTATATGTATCATATATTTTTAGACTTGATGTAACATTTGCCATTACATCTGTTATGCTACAATTTTACTTTGACAAGCCAAAAACTGTTAAAGTAAATTGGTGCCTTCCACTTCTCCCATGTGTTTCTCTTTTTCACAGTCTGGCAGAAATGATGGATGGTTCCAAAATACATGGTCACATGACAGTAAAAGTGTACAGTTGCCAAGATACAGGGGCGGGTCAACTTACCCCACTCCCTATGTTTAACTGGTTTTGAGATCAGTATACAAATGAAGACTTGCACCCATATCTCAGTTCCCGTGAAACATAAGCTTAGGCTCTGACCACAGTTTATAGCACAGTGTCTGCTGCTCTGGGTCAGTGGGTGGCATCATCTCTTCAGCAGCCTCAGCTGGGTCCTAATGGTGTTTGGCACTTTTGGCACTGCAGACTTTTAGAAAAACAAGTCTCCTGAAATGCACTTTTCACACTCTCACTAGTTCATTTAATTTGCATGCCTCACTTTTTTTTATTGAATTTATTATTATTATTATTATTAAAAAAAATTGTCAGTTATGAACATTTTCATCATAGGATCATTTCAACCACATCTCAGATAATTAAAAAAAAACTTATTGAAAGATCATTTAAAAATGATAATAATTTTCACACAAAATATAAAATAGTTAAGTAGATCAGATAATTACACAAAAACAATATGTTTATTTCACAGATTCGTTTTAAAAGTAATCATTCATTTTTTTAAATCTAATTTTCATAGAATCTGGGACAAGGTTAAAACAATATTCTATACATAAAAGGCATTTAACAAGTAGATGATGAAATAAATAATAAAGACATGATGAAATGTTTCCAAGACAGATTTCCACGAAGGAACACCCACCTACAGATTACGCCACTCACTTGTGATTTTATCCTTCTTTTATGCTTTTTAATTTATACATTTTATTCTGTCTAACATTTTTATAGGAGCACTTCCTATATTTATATCACAGCCCATATTTATTGCTGCTACCATACAAAGAAATAAAACGCTAAGTTTGATTCATAACGTTTTCCTTCTGAAATCTTCTTGCACTAGCCTCCTTCCTTGACTTCTTTGTCAGTTTTTAGGGGAATATTTGTTTGCTGGTGCCTGTGATTGTTGAATGATGTGGTATTTACCATATTTACACACCACAGTGCTCATCTCTGCTCGGGCCTCTGGGTGGCATTTAAATCCCTCAGTCCTTCAGTATTAAATCGTCCTCTGTCCTTCATGAAGGACCTGAGGGACAGACCCATCCTGGACCTCCCATTTCTCTGTCATTTTCCTCTTAATTACTTCATATACATGCCTGTTTGTAATATCCACCTTGTCCTCTGTGCAGTTTGTTAGGAAAGGACCCTCACTTTAATCTGTACACTATTAGGATTTCTTGCACCACATAAGACTATATAATACCAAGGTGATGATTATTTGAACCTAATGTACACCACTTGTTGTCTTCCCTTCACATGGCATTTTTCCAGACACCTTCATAATAGCTCATCACTTTCATAAGAGATCATTGGATGACTCATAAATCATCCTTAGGACACAGAAGCCATTTTTTGTCATAAAACAGTGTTGTCAGAATTGTAACAACAGAACGCTGAACTCTGAGAAAGTTTACATGTTTAATGAGCCATGAACATGTGAGTGGATGCGTGTGGTGTGAGGATTTTTGTTTTAACAGCGCTGTTTGCAAAGGCTTGATAAAAACCCTTCATCCAGCATGTTTTGAGCAAGTCAAAAGCCAGCAAGAGAAAACAGGTGTAATAAGTCTCTTAAATGTGTGTATTTGCAGGTTGCTATGGCAGCTCCAGCTCATGCTCTTTTGTGCTGGTAATTTTTAATAAAGGCACAGCCTAACAATTCTGGACTGAGGGGTAATCATTAATTGAATGAATGAATAAATGAACAAATAAGGTTTTGTAAAAATATACGTTGTGTGTATAATTAGACATAGGCTGTTTAATTAAAATATTGTATGCATTATTGTAGTACATTGTATGTGATGTGCTGTGAAGATAGATTTTTACCTCATTATTACTACTACTTATAATTTAGAAATGTGTTATAAAAGTGTTATTATTTACAAATAAAAACTGTTTAATTTCTCTTGATTTATTTTGCACTAGTTTTGAAATGTATTAGCATCAATCATAGCAAAATCACCGTTTTCAGTTACCAATGATGTCAGTCATAACTAATTTATTGCAAGTTTCTAGTGAAAAATAAATGTCACTACTAATAAATATTATTTTATTCTCCATCATATTTAACATTTCTTTTAAATTCCTTTGACAAGTGCCACATTGCAGTGTGTGTGTGCGTGTGTGCGCGCTTTAATTGGCCTTATGGGGGAGGTGATCTTGCACAGAGATCAGGTTAATGAGGATGTTAATATAAACATAATGGACATTTCCCACAGGAAACAATGTCCTGTTGTTCTGGACATGAAAATTAAGGCATTGTGGGGTTGCGGACGTGTCAGTTAGTAGAATTTGAAACTGTACTTACATCGTCACACAATAAAAATGTGCCAATCATTTCCATAAGTTTGGCAGGACCTTTCAGCGATGTTTATTCACATATTTCTACATCAGTCTGAACTGTTCTGGAAAATGCTGTAAAATCCAAAAGGCATGCTGCATGTCTTTAAACACGTAAAGTAAAAACAGAAAGGTTTTGGCATTGAAAGCACAGAGGCTATTAACAAGTGTGCTCAAGAGCTGTTATCACAAGGATGAGAGATCTATTAGCAAGTGCTTGTTTGTGTAGATGCAGCTTTTTATTTGAAAATGAAGACTGCAGTGACTGAATTGCATCAGGCAGGCTAGAGAGATCAACAAAAAACTGAAGACAAATAGCAAAACTATTAACAAAAATATTATTTTAAGAATTGCTCCTGGTGTTTTTCAGGCAGACTATTTATAATCAATTATCAATTGTCTTTGGAATCAGAATTTGTACAATGAATATTCATGGGAGTATGCGACAGCGCGGCTGTGTAAAACGATTCTTTGTGCTCGCAGCACTGCGGTCTTATTGTTGGGTTTTTGCCCTTTCGCAGTACACCATGTAAGGAAATGTGCTCTGTAAGTGATAGTGAGATAGCACTCCTTCCTCCTAATCAGCCCCCAGCTCACCTCTTCCTACCAGGATATAATCCTAAACAGCCCACCCCCAAATCCCCTTTATAAAACCTAATTAAATCATGCTAATGTCCATATTCCCTGGATATGACTGGCTTGGCAGATTTGAAACCAGCCAATTATGGGGTTAATCAGACCCTTGGTAATAAAGTTTCCCTCTTTCCTATACATTTGAAGTGAAGCCAGAATCCTGAACTGGAGAGAGAGAGAGATCAGATGTATTTATATGGTCTGATTTGCACATTTCCGCAACCACTGTTGCTATTGAGATTGTCACAACCCCCCAAAATATTTAGATCATCCAATATGGGTTTTTCAAAGGTTGATAGGTAAATGATTACATCCCCCTTCTCATTCCCGAATTTGCGGTTAGATCCATGGTTGAATCATTTTGTCCAAAATGTTAAATTTGCAGCATTTGAAGTACTCAAGAAGTAAGGAGACAA